AGCTGCTTCAGTAATTAATGACTTCAAGACTTTTAGCTGCTTCAGTAATTAATGACTTCAAGACTTTTAGCTGCTCCAGTAATTAATGACTTCAAGACATTTAGCTGCTTCAGTAGTTATTGACTTCAAGACGTTTAGCTGCTTCAGTAATTAATGACTTCAAGACTTTTAGCTGCTTCAGTAGTTATTGACTTCAAGACTTTTAGCTGCTTCAGTAATTAATGACTACAAGACATTTAGCTGCTTCAGTAATTATTGACTTCAAGACTTTTAGCTGTTTTAATAATTAATGACTTCAAGACGTTTAGCAGCTTCAGTAATTAATTACTTCAAGACTTTTAGCTGCTTCAGTAATTATTGACTTCAAGACTTTTAGCTGTTTCAATAATTAATGACTTCAAGACTTTTAGCTGCTTCAATAATTATTGACTTGAATACTTTTAGCTGCTTCAATATTTAATGACTTCAAGACTTTTGGCTGCTTCAGTAATTATTGACTTCAAGACTTTTAGCTGTTTCAATAACTAATGATTTCAAGACTTTTAGCTGCTTCAATAATTATTGACTTGAATACTTTTAGCTGCTTCAATAATTATTGACTTCAAAAATTTTAGCTGCTTCATTAATTAATGACTGCAAGACTTTTAGCTGCTTCATTAATTAATGACTGCAAGACTTTTAGCTGCTTCAATAATTAATGACTTCAAGACTTTTAGCTGTTTCAATAATTAATGACTTCAAGACTTTTAGCTGCTTCAATAATTAATGACTTCAAGACTTTTAGCTGCTTCATTAATTATTGACTTCAAGACTTTTAGCTGCTTCAATAATTAATGACTGCAAGACGTTTAGCTGCTTTAATAATTATTGACTGCAAGACTTTTAGCTGCTTCAATAATTATTGACTGCAAGACTTTTAGCTGCTTCAATAAATATTGACTTCAAGACTTTTAGCTGCTTCAATAATTAATGACTTCAAGAGTTTTAGCTGCTTCAATAATTAATGACTTCAAGACTTTTAGCTGCTTCAATAATTAATGACTTCAAGACTTTTAGCTGCTTCAATAATTAATGACTTCAAGACTTTTAGCTGCTTCAATAATTATTGACTTGAATACTTTTAGCTGCTTCAGTAGTTATTGACTTGACTACTTTTAGCTGCTTCAATAATTAATGACTTCAAGACTTTTAGCTGCTTCAATAATTAATGACTTCAAGACTTTTAGCTGCTTCAATAATTATTGACTTCAAGACGTTTAGCTGCTTCAGTAATTATTGACCTCAAAACTTTTAGCTGCTTCAATAATTAATGACTTCAAGACTTTTAGCTGTTTCAATAATTATTGACCTCAAAACTTTTAGCTGCTTCAATAATTAATGACTTCAAGACTTTTAGCTGTTTCAATATTTGTTGACTTCAAGACTTTTAACTGCTTCAATATTTATCACATTGATTATTCAATAATACTTATTATTATTATAATTATTATTAATAATATTATTATTAATCGTTTATCAATAATTAATACTAATAATAGTTAATATTGATTAATATTTATAAACAATAATGATCACATTGATCAATGATCACACTGATCAATGATCACAATGATCAGAGTCTATCCCTGAGATTAAAAATCATAATTCAGAGTTCCTGCAGTTCGGCCTCTAATAGTTTCTTCTAAACAGCAGCTGATTCACTCTGATCTGAAGAATCGATCTATAACTGATCAATAACAGCTGTTACATCATCTGTGACGTCACGTGACCACAGCGCTCTCCAGTGATCTGTAGAACTTTATGGATCTGTTTCCTTCTCAATATTTATTAATAAAACAAATTAAACAAATGATTTAATTTTTTATTTTTTTATAAAAAAATAATATAAACGTTTCATATAAATCAAACACAAACATGTAAAAATATAAATGCTTCAAAGTTTATTTAATGTTTATTAAGAAATGTTCACTAGTGATTAATGAAGTTTTTAACATTTTTGAAAGTTTATTTATCAATGATTTTAATTTTACATCAACTAAAACGGAGGTAAATGTGTAAAAGTTTTTTTTAAATATTAATAAAAATGTTTCTTATAAAGTCTTTAAAAAGCTTTATTTTCTAAAATTGTAGTTTGTTTCTTCAGAAATTATTTCAATGTTTTATACCTTCATATGCAATTTAGCCTCTTCTCTAACCGCTTCACCACCGTGTCACATTTTTAACACAATAAAATCACAAATTTATTTTCTTGACCAGTTGATAAAAAAAAAAAATAGTTTGTAAAAAATCAGATTTTTTAGTTTTCTACCAGAATACATTTATTTTATGAATGAAATCATGTAAATAAATAAAACTCAATAGATTTTTATCTAGGATGTTTTTGAAATTAACTATAATTTATTAATTTATTCAGTTAATAGTTCATTGTTTGGAGTTTGTAAGTATTAAAAGTTTTAAAGTGATATAATGGAATTCAGATTTTTTTTCACTGTGTTTTATTTTCATTTATCAACAATAATTTTATATTTAAGTTCGACACAATAACTTAAGTTTTATTAAGGGAGTCAGAATGAAGATGAATTTTATCTCAGATTAGACGTGGTTCTTTTTAGAAGTGGAAAATAGAAATATTCATAAAATTATAAAATTGAAAGATGTTTTTTTTATTAAAATAGTTTCAACAGGTTAGAGCAGGAAAACTTTTAGATTTAAAATAAAATAAAACTTCCTGTTCTGCAGCATCAAACTACACAATCATCTCTAAATTCAATAAATAATAAAATTAATAATAAAATTAATAAAGAACACAATAAACAATGAAATAAATGAAATGTGATCAAACATCAGAACTCACCTCAGATTCAGAAGCTTCTCCACAATAAAACTGATCGACTCAGAAAATCTGTCTTCAGATCAGAGTCTGAGTCTGGTCCTGGTTCTGGTTCTGGTCCTGGT